CTCAAACGCTTGCCTCGCCATTTGGAGTTTGTGGGACACGCCCAGGCGGTTCGCCCTCTTAAAAAAATCGCGAAGCCCTCCAACTGTCATCCAATGTGGTTTGGACGAGGACTCTCTTCATGTCGTTAAAAGGTCTCTCCTCTCTCTCTCTCTCTCTTACATGCAATTACACTAGAGCTCGATTATCCCTCCCTGCGACGGTTCTCACTTGGAGGGGATGATTGGCTGGCGGAAGGGTGCGAGAGAACCCGAGGATTGGGGCTCGCGGGTTCACTCGAGACTGCGCATCTCTAGCAGACCCGGGCTGCTGCCTGGAACAGACAACGTGTGGAGAAGAAGAAAGAGAGGGCTCGGGATGTGACCAAGCTTGAGAGAGGCTGCCTGGAACAGACAACGTGTGGAGAAGAAGAAAGAGAGGGCTCGGGATGTGACCAAGCTTGAGAGAGAAAGAGAATGGGTTCGTGCACTTGGAGATGTTTTCTCTCTCCGAGAAGGAACAAAACTGCGCACAGGGGTATTTTCTCCCTTTGGAAAATTTTTATCACTCCTCTCGGTGGGATTAAGTTCAAAAGAAAAAGACGAGTGAAAACAAGCATTATGCCTCTATTTAATGATGAATAATGCTCAATAATCAGTCTTTTAACAAGTGACTTAAGCTTGCTTATATGGAGGACTCATCGAATAGGGGTGAATTCTCAAAAACAAAGATTACAATTAAAGAAATTAAAATAAAATCTCCAAATTAGGTGCCATGACAAAAATTCCCCTAAGACCTTTTATGCTAATGATGAAACCATCCCTGCTTGAGGGTCCTATCGCCATTTCCAGATCTTGGAAGATTTTTCGTGGACTTGTAGCAATGGTTCAGCCGATTTGTCGTTATATCCTCAGTGTTCGTTCGATTCTGAGTATTTTGATGTCCTTTCGTCTTGTTGAGGTGGCCTTTTCCCACGTGGTGGAAGTCCGACCAAATTCATGAACTTTTCATCGCTAATGCCATTCAATCTGTGATGCTCTGAGTTTTTGTTTTGCTTACATATGAAAAAGAGGAGATTGTCACAGTCATTTTCTACCAAGCATGGTCTTTTTGGTCTCATTTGTGGCATTTCCTAATTTGGGAGGTCACCTGGAAAAGGGATTCTGGGGATCGAGCAGGCTTGCTTTTCCAGCGAGCTTGGGATTTGTGCTTATCGGGCCTTGGATCAGGTACAATAGTTATGCCATTTTGCAGCTCTTCGTGAGGTGGTTGCATTGAACTTGTCTTCGCGATGATCCGATGTGCGGATTTCGAGCTGTGCTTCATGAGGTTCGAGGTGTCTTCTTCTTAAAACACTGATTTTTCTGGTTTTGCAGTCACCTTCTTTTTAGAAGAAGTTTGACTCTGGCTCACACCACAGTGCGTGCCCTAGGTCAAAATGACGAGGATGGTGCGGTCTAGAACATGTCCAAATATGAACTTTTTCTGGTTCTAAACATAGGTGTTGTGGTTCTTGGAGCCCCTCTCAAGATGCAATGCTGCAGTATCCATGCTTGGAAACGGGTTCAGTGAAGCCACACCGTGATAGTGTAAAACCTACTCGTTTTGAGGCAATATGAGCATAGACCCCTTTTGGTCCTCGAGGGTTTTTTAATGTTTTGAGTGCAATGGCTATGGTCCGGTTTTGAAGCTAATAGCATAGGGCTATAATTGTAAGGTCTTTCCTTGGCACAATAGGATTCTTCCCAGACTGCCTGGTTCGAGACCTATTTCGGGGCACAACTTTGGTCTGTCAGTTTTTTAACTACCAACAGGACCAAGCTGTTGCTGGCTCTCTCCTTATTTGTGTGGGAGTTGTAAGTACATAAAAAATGACGTTTAACAACTTGCCCCTACGGATGTTGCGCTTCGAGAGAATAGAGAAGTGCAACATTTGGAATGAAAACTTTATTGTCAAAGTTCATCTTTTGAATCCTCACTAAGACATGTTTATTTCCTCTCAACGGATGCTTTTCTTCTTGGTCATCAGCGTAAGCACAATCCTCTAGATTTTGCTGAGCCTTTCCTTGGGGGGTGACCAAAGTTGTCTCTAGGAGACTGGGGCCATGCTTGGGGGCTTTCTCCAAGTTCTGCTGGAGTTCTCCAAGTCCTGCTGGAGTCCATTTTTTTTTTGAAAAGTGGGCTAATAGGCTTCCTTGTGGAGGGTTTATCATTCCATACCAACGGACTTCCTTATGGCTCAGCTAGCGGGTGCCCTTTTGTGGGTGTTGGTCCCAATTTAGCTGGTAAGAAAAGAAAATTTGTTTTGGCCCTTTGGCTAGAGATTTGTTTTGGCCATTTGGCCAGAGATTTGTTTTGACCCTTTGGCCTGAGCCAGAGATTTTTCGACATTGGGGCTGGAGTTTTGTTGGCACTGGGGCCGGAGATTTGTTTTGGCCCTTTGGCTGGAGTTTAATTAGCACTGGGGCTAGATGATTTTGTCTTGACCACTTGGCTAGAATTTTGTTTTGGCCCTTTGGCCAGCGATTTGTGTTGGCCCTTTGGCCGAAGATTTGTTGGCACTGGGGCCAGAGTTTTGATTTGACCCTTTTGACTAAAGTTTTGTAGATATTGGGGCCAGAGATTTGTTTGGCCCTTTGGCCAAATTTTTGCTGGCACTGAGGCTGGATGATTTTGTTTGGCCATTTGGCCGAAATTTTGTTTTGGCCCTTTGGCTAGAGATTTGTTGGCGTTGGGGCCGGAGATTTGTTGGTGTTGGGGCCAGAGTTTTGTTGGCACTAGGGCCGGAGTTTTTTGGCAATGGGGCCGGAGATTTGTTTTGGCCCTTTGGTTAGAGTTTTGTTGGCATTGGGGCCGAAGGTTTGTTTTGGCCCTTTGGTTGGAATTCGTTGGCGCTGGGGTTGGAGATTTGTTGGTGCTGGGGCTGGGGATTGTTTTGTCCCTTTGACTGGAGTTTTTTTGGCACTGCGGGGATGATTTTGTTTTTGGTTGAAATTTTGTTTTGACCCTTTGGCAGGAGTTTTGTTAGCACTGGGACCGAATATTTGTTTTGGCCCTTTGGCTGGAGCTTTGTTGCCATTGGGGCCGGAGTTTTGTTTGCACTGGGGTCGGAGTTTTGTTAGCACTGAGGCCAGAGTTTTGTTTTGGCCCTTCGGCCAATGTTTTGTTGGCACTGGGGCCGGAGATTTGTTTTGGCCCTTTGGCTAGTATTTGTTAGTGCTGGGGCTAGAGATTTATTAGCACTAAGAACGGAATTTTGTTTCCTCAAGCGCCTTTGCAGGTTTTCAGTTGAATCAGGTGGAAGTGGTGCCACGAGGGTGGTTTTCACCAAGTCCTTTTGCTGAGGCATTTTTACCTGTGACTTCGAGATCACATCCGCCTGTTGATATCCATATTTACTCATGACGCTCTTGCGGATTTTTGTCATGCCTGATTTTCTTGTTTTCAGGACACTATTACTCATGGCTTCGTGGCCATGCCCAACTGCCATTTTTACTCATGGTGCCCTTGCGGGTTTTCACCATGCCCATTTTTTTATTATTTTGACGATTTTACCCATAGCCTTGGTGGCTATGTCCATCTAAATCTCGTTTTCTTTTACTCATGATGGTTTTTCATGCTCTTCTTCTTCTTCTTCGGAGGCTTACTGGAGCAGCGATCCTCGTGGTTGACATGTTGGTGCAGGTGAGCACAGCTTGGTCACTCTCTCGTTGTAGGTGCATGGAGTGCTTGTCTTTGCTGGTCGTTGATTGTTGTGAACGGCCTTCGGAGGAAGAGGAATGCATCCACTTTGAGGTACCTTGAAGCTGGGAAAGAAGGCCGTTCTGACGACTGGCCTGTATTCAAGGGGGATGTAGCCCGAAAAGTTTGTTTGCCCAGAGATTAATGCGCAAAGACGGTGCTCTGATGATAACGCGTCCGTAGAGTGAAAGTGGTCAAAGAAAGTGATGCCTGGGAGGCAAAGCGGTGGGAGATCTGTCTTGTGCCATGTTGATGATGACGCTTGAGAGGCGAAGTGGTTAAAGATTTGACCAAGGATGCTTCGAAAGTGGTGCCTGGGAGGCGAGGCGCCAGAAGACTTAAATGGCAGTCAAACGAGGCACCCTTGCGATGACACGCATCCATGTGGTTGGACGAGGATTTGCTCACGAAGCGAGTTGCTTCGATGACGGACCTATAAGAAGGAGACACGGAGAGTGGGGAAACAGTTCCTCCTGTTGTTTTGAGAAACTTTGCTTTCCCTTTCTCTTGTATAGAGAGAAGAGACCTCTCCTTTTTGAAGCATCCTTTCGAGAGGCGATGTCCTTTGCTGAGGCTAGCTCTCGAGTCCCAGATCCTATAATGAATCCAAGTGTTGGGCTTTTAGGTGAAGGTGTTCGACCCTGTAGAAGCGTTGACAAACTCATGCTAGATGATGGGCTGTTGCCTTCAGGTCTCTTCTGCTTGCTTGGGCTCCAGAGCGCAAGGTCCAAAGCTATGTGTAAGATGTTGAGCGCCAACCACCCTGAATCCCATCGCATCCATCTAAATATGATGGTAAATTGTGATTGCTGGCCTGTGATCTTTTTCACAATGGCCAACCAATGGGGTGATTTGGTCGACTTGTTAGTTTAGCACTTGGGTGGACTATTGGTATGCAGAGCAAGGCCCTTCTTGCTCGGGTTTTGCTTGTTGCTGCTTGGGTAACCAACTTCTGGCTCTTTGCCTTCACCAGAGGACATGCAGGAGGAAGAGGTGCTCCTCATTCTTTTCAAGCCTTGCTTGAAGAGAAGGATACCGCCTCTTAGAAGTCACTACCACTGTGAGAAGGCGGTGGGGCTCTTGAAGGGGATGGATTTACTTTAGAACGGATGTACTTTTAGGAATTACATAGTTGTTGTAACAACCATGTTGCAATCCCTTTTGATCACGAAATAAATCTCCGTTTGCATTTAATTCTTCTTCATTGCTCTGAGTTCTCACTTGGCCCATGGTTTGCTTCGTCTTCTTTTTCCTTGGCTCAGAAAGAAGAAACACAAGCCACGAAGCAAAGAAAGTGAAGATTTCATTTCATAAACAAGAAGGGTTACAATACTGTGGTTACAATTATTAGTATCTACATAGAAGGATCTCTTCTTGTTGAATCTTCAACTGATGGATGTGGCAGCCAATACACCACCTCCTTCTTCCAAAACTGTGACCTCCTCAAGAGAGGCAGTATCTTTCTTTTCAAAGTGAGATTGAAAAGAATGAAAGATACTCCTTTCTTCTTCTTGCCACTGGTTCATGATAAAGAAGCACATGGTAGTTAAATAGCAACAACAAGCGAAGATCCAACCAGATGATCGTCTGCTAGATATATTGGCAGTTCACCCAAGTGCTGAACATTGGGGTTGCCCAAATTACAAAAATAAGCAACCACCATGATGAAGATTACAAGCCAACAAGAATAACCATACAAAGTTACTTTATCAAGACCTTGATAGCCTATTATCATGTTCTGATGGATGAGAATGGGTTCAGGCCTGATGACCTTCAAAACCTTATGCACAGCCTTAGACTTTGTCTGCACTTCTGAATGACAAGCTTCCCAAAGATCTGGAGGCTTGGGTTTGTCATTGATCACAGGGTCATCATCAACTCCTTCATCCACATAGGTGATGCTTGGATAAGCTGCAGAACCAGAAATGATGCAGAAAAATTCCGAATGATCAAGAGATATTCATGACACTGAGTCATATATCAAAGATCGATGTATTCTACAAATTTGAGATCAAATGTTCTTGATAAACAGAACTCAGTTGCAAACAACTCTGCCATTGCTCACATGGCAGAACAGTAGTATGAATCAAAAACAGGGGAAGAGATGACCGAAAATAGTAGTGTTCATGCTCAATGAAACTTGGAAGCAAAGGGGTTGTTTGTAATGACTGTCGGCAATCATGATGCTCATGCAAAAGGCTCGAAATGTTGTCCTATAAAAACTGTGACAGTTAGTCATTGAGGCAACACTGTGGGCGACAGTACCTTTTACCAAGTGCAAGCGCTAAGACGAAGAAGAGGTCAAAAAGTACCTTTTGGGGCCTGAGTAATAGTGCTAGCTGAGGCCATAACTTCACAAAAGAATGCTTCAAAAGGGGGAGCTATCTTTCTCTCTCTACAGTGGAAAAGGCGGAAAAGGAATTGAGTTTTTGACTCAATGAAATCTCGAAGGTAAAAACCCCTCTCTCTCTATCTCCCCTTTCAATAAAACCTCAAACCGGGGGTCAGTTCAAGAAGTGTTTCGCCTCCCTGGCATCGCTCTATCAGACCGCGGGTTTGTCCCAGCAGCATTTCGCTCTGTCAGACCGCGGGTTTGTCCCAGCAGCATTTCGCTCTGTCAGACCGCGGGTTTGTCCCAGCAGCGTTTCACCTCCTTGGCATTGCTCTGTCAGACTGTGGGTTTGTCCCAGCAGTGTTTTACCTCCCTGGCATTGCTTCGTCAAACCGCGGGTTTGTCCCAACAACGTTTCGCCTCCCTAATGTCGCTTTAGTTAAACCTCGGGTCTATCTCAGCAGCGTTTCACCTCCCTGGTGTGGCTTTGGCTACACCGCGGGTCTGGTATACAAGCATTTCGCCTCCCTGGCATCGTTTCATCAAACCATGGGTTTGTTCCAAAATATCTCATCTCTCTGGCGTCGCTTCCTCCAAACCCTGGGTCTTTCCCAAAGCGTTTTGCCTCCTTGGTACCGTTTCGTCAAACAGCGGGACTCATTATTGTGCCCTTTTCTCATTGCTTTAAACCCACACCTAACCACGGGTTTTGTCATTTCCACTTCTTCTACTCTTCAAATATTCTAGATTCGCGTCAAAGCTCGGGTCCGTACAACTTTGTACTCCTTTCTCTCTCACTCATCAAATTGAATTCTAAGATTGCGTTTAAACGCAAGTGTATCAACTTTGCTACACCACTCTTCTCAAAATCCCCCAGCCTACATCAAGGCACGGGAACAATTTCTCACTTCTCATTTCTCACACAAACCCATGATTTAACGATGAGCTCAACACACACTTGTGCACATTTTTACACAAGGTGAACAAAAGGTTTATTCCCTTCCTTCCACCTACACACACTAGCACCTCTGAGGGCAACCCTAGGCTAGATGAAGCCCAGACCTTTGAGCCTAACAGCACCATTTTTAAAACCGACTCATCATGAGCCATGAATTCATCAATTCAGTATGACCCTGGATTCGATTCAATAAACTTTTGAGATCTAAGGGTAATTTGGATCCTTAATGATTTCCAATCCCTAGAGGAGTTATACCCTTGATATACAGGAGCCCCATTGGGAATATATTGGGATATACCCTTACACTCAAAATGAAAAATCAAACTCAAGCCTACCATTGAGACCAAATAACCCTTGTTCATTTGGGCTTCGATTTTAAAACTCCATTATTCCCATGGAGCTACACCCAAACATGCCCTGCTACTATATGATCCTAGATGGTGCATAATCTCTCAAAGGGACCATCACTCCTATGGCCCATCTTCCCTAGTGGGTTCCTATTCTTGAAGAACTAGCGTCCCTAAGGAATCACTATTTTTCAATGGTTTAACAATCCTCAAATGGACTGTCCACCTCAACATCTTAACAACCCTAGTGGACTATAATCCATTTATCTCCAATGGGTCGTTATGCTTAATGGACCAATCCCCCAATAGGCCACAACTTCCTTCCATCTCAATAAACCAAGAAACAATACTAACATTTCCAATAAACAAACAAACCACCCTCCCAAGTTGATTACCCCCCAGTAGGTCACTATTACCAATAAAACTATCATCCCAAAGGACTGATGTTTCATTCCCCAAGTGGTAAGTCACCTTCGTCAGCAAGGTCACTACCCCAATGGTGCAAATCCACAATTGTTATCCCCATGGAGTTTTCATGCATCAGCTAAACTACTAATCCATCTAAAACCTCCATACCCAGCAAGTATGAATCATTCATCACCTTGCGCAACCTAGTACTATCTATGTCACCGAATAAAAGCCTCACCTATGGTATTTGTTACCCCAGTGAGCCCTATCCAAACATAACCCCTTTGTCATATGCCTTGTCAAGGAAGGGAGTTTCTCTAAAAAAAAAAGAGATCGGGCATGATGAGCATCCGATGAGGATCGTCATGAGTAAAAATGAGAGCTTTAGGTGGACATAGCCATGAAACCATGGTAAAATTTTCCAAAAATAAAATTGGGAATGGTGAAAATCCGAAAGGTCACAATGAGTAAAAAAGACAGATAGGCATGGCCATGAAGCCATGAGTAAAAGAGTTCTGAAAACAAGAAACCGGGCATGATGAAAAATCAAAAGGGCACCATGAGTAAAAATGTAAATAAAAGGATGGACGTCACCTCGAAGTCACGGATAAAAGAGCCTTGATAAAAATAAGAAGTTGGTGAAAACCATTTTTATGGTACCACTTCTGTCTATTTTAGGTGAAAACCCGAAAGGGCTTGAACTAATAAAAAGGTTGATGCAGTTCTTCACCAAAGATGACCTCAACCAATTTCAGTAAAAGTCTAAAAGAATTGAAAAGTACTGGGTGAAAATCAAACCAGCCCTTTCTCACAAAGAAGATCCAACCACAATAAGATAAAGTCCTTTGGGGACACTCATCTGTTGCGTCAAGAAGTTTTCTAATATGGGCGAAAGCCCCTAAAGAGGCACTCTCTTAGAGCCAAAGAAAGTTTTCTAATGTGGAAGAAATCCCCCGAAAAGGAACTCACTTAGAGCCAAAGAAATTTTTTAATGTGGGAGAAAGCTCTTGAAAAGGTGCTCACTTAGAGAAAAAGAAGAAGTTTCAGCCGCAGTAAGATAAAGTCCTTCGGGAGCACTCAACTGTTGCGTCAAATAAATTTTTTTAATGTGAGGAAAGCCTCTGAAAAGGCACTCACTTAGAGAAAAAGAAGAAGTTCCAGCTATAGTGGGATAAAGTCCTTCGAGGACACTCAGCTGTTGTGTCAAAGAAAGTTTTCTAATGTGAGAGAAAGCCCCTGAAAAGGCACTCACTTAGATAAAAAGAAGAAGTTCCAGCTGCAGTGGGATAAAGTCCTTCAGGGACATTCAGCTGTTGCACCAAATAAAGTTTTCTAATGTGGGAGAAAGCCCCTGAAAAGGCACTCACTTAGAGAAAAAGAAGAAGTTTCAGGCACAGTGGAATAGAGTCCTTCGAAGAGCTGTTGCGCCAAATAAATTTTACTAATGTGGGTGAAAGTCCCTGAAAAGGCACTCACTTCGAGAAAAATAAGAAGTTCTAATCACAGTGGGAAAAAGTCCTTTGGGGACACTCAGCTGTTACGCCAAACAAAATTTCTAATGTGGGAGAAAGCCCCTGAAAAGGAACATACTTAGAGAAAAAGAAGAAATTCTAGCCATATTGGGATAAAGTCCTTCGGGGACACTCAGTAGTTGCGCTAAAGAAAATTTTCTAATGTGGGAGAAAGCCCCTGAAACGGCACTCACTTAGAGAAAAAGAAGAAGTTCCAGCTGCAGTGGGATAAAGTCCTTCGAGGACACTCAACTATTGCGCCAAAGAAAGTTTTCTAATGTGGGAGAAAGCCCCTGAAAAGGCACTCACTTTGAGAAAAAGAAGAAGTTCTAGCCACAGTGGGATAAAGCCCTTCAGAGATACTCAGTTGTTGCACCAAAGAAAGTTTTTCTAATGTGGGAGAACGCTCCTAAAAAGGTACTCACTTAGAGCAGAAGAAAGCCTTCTAATGTGGAAGCAAGCCCTTAAAAAAGGCACTCACTTAGGGATGAAAAATTGGAAGGTACTAGGTGAAAATCAGACTCACAAAAAAATAGTTCTCGCCACACTGGGATAAAGTCCTTCGGGGATACTCAGCTGGTGCAATAAGAAGAGGTCTTCTAATGAGGGAGCAAGCATTTGAAAAGGCACTCATGCAGAGACAGAGGTATATCACACCACTGGATTGGGAGCAAGCCCCCAAGGGCACCCACTAGCCGTATTATTAGGAAATATTGTTGAGGACGGCACAGTAAGCCCTTCTACAATGCCCACGGTTAGCACACTCCCCAGAGAACAAACTCTAGTGGCATTGGGAAAAACGCCCTCAAACAAGGTCCCCCAGGTTGCTAGAGTTCACTTCGGTCATCGCTCAAGGAAGAAGCTTAGCATGGTCTACCCCTCAAAGATCATGTTGACACCGATGATCAAGAAGAAAAATATTGTTGAGAGGAATCAATAAAAGCATCTTAGTAAGGATTCGAAAGATGAACTTCGACGAAAATTTTGTTCTAAATGTTACACTTCTCGCTTCTCTCAAAGAGCAGCATTCGGCGGGGCAAGTTATTAAATGTCATTCTAACATACCTGTATCCTCAAAGTGAACACTGCAACATGGTCCCGCCGGTACCCAAGACACAATTTGACCATAGGAACACTGCAAGAATAAACTTAAAACTGTGCAGCCTCTAAAGAAGTATTGTAACAGCTTCAAAATGCATGAAAAATGTAGTTTGGCATACCTGAAGAGCATTCGCAAAGTTTCATAACATTCTGATAAGTTTTGATATGATCATAATGAAACTCAGTTTTCAAGTTTAACTTCTATCATGCTGAAAGTAGACCCTAAAACTACAGCCCTATTTTTTGGGTCTCAAAACAATATCAAACCATTGCTATTGAATTCGAAACGTCAAAAAAACCCCCCAAGTACCAAATTTTGGCTCAATCGGACCCTCCGAGACCATTTTGGACCTAACTTTCCATAAAATGGTTAGTTTTACACTATGGCGGTGTGGCTTCAGCAAACTAGTTTCCATAAATGAAAACTGTGTCTTCTCCTTTGGAGTAAATTTTTAAATGATTATATTTTTCTCGTTTTTAGTCCGATCAAGCTCAAATTTAGACAAGAGCTAGATCTTAACGGGCCAATCATTTTGGTATAAGATAGGCTTCTTAGCAAGACCTAAAGTGAGAGAATTTCTAAAGAGAAGATGTGCTCAGAAATGTACGAATTCATAAGAAAACACATAATTCTTTGGAAGGCCATAACTCAAGATTATGATGACGGATCATCGCAAAAATGGGTTAGTTGTGACCGTGTGTCGAAGAGCTACAGTTTGGAACAAGTTTTATACATAATTGGAAGTCGGATGATGCAAATTTTGAGGATGAAGAAAGGCACGGTTTTCTGTTGCCGGAAACCCGTTGTCTACAGGGATGCCTGGGCATCAGTAACAATCGAAGATCGTTCAAAGAAAACTCAGAGTAAGGGATCGATCGAGGGAGTCTTTAGTAGAAACTAGTCTCCTTTCCTCAAGGATCTCCTTAGCCTGATTAGTCATTTCAAACACTTTCTTACCGAGGCGTTCGGTGCCTAGCATGCTAAACACAACTAAACACCTTTTCACGGCTCTCATAAGAAAGAGGAGCCTACACAAGTCATCGACAGACATGCGAGCCATACAATGGTAGATTACCTTAAGGATCTCACCATCGGTCTCAATATCCTGAAAATCAGAGCTTCAAAAATCAAAACTCTAGACAGGGGGGGTAAGGTCTGTTCATCGTGACCATCATCACCAGAAGACCCCTCAAACCACTGATTCGGAGAATCGGCACCACGACAAGATGACACTAGGGGAGGACACAAATAGAAAAACAACACAAAACCAAAGATACCCGAGATTTTCGTGACCACTATCCTTGGAAATTCCCCTTAGGCCTACATGGTCCGCCAATATATAGCCATGCA